GCTACCATTGTCAGCGAGGAAATTTAGAGTGATCAAGCAGCTGTGTGAAGGGTAATGCTTGCTTCTCCCTTCTCTCAGACCTGTCTTGCTCCCATTATCTTCTACTTGCCCTACTTTGTCCCCTTTTTGTTCTCCATCTGAGTTAAGACAGGCATCTGGGAAACCAAGGGCAATGAGGATTAGAGAAAATTGGTTTGACAGCTGAACCTGGAATTCCAGGCTGCAAAGGATGAAAAACAAAAGAAGCTAATCTGGGGAACATGGAAATATGGGGCCCTTTGAAGACTACAAGATCTGTTAGAGAAACTGGAAAAGGAGAAGTTACTGCAAACAGTCATGACCCACAATATTATTTTGAAATTTCATTTTCTCTGATTGTGATTCACAATTGAATTTATTTGTTTGGACTTTTTTTAAAATTTGTTTTTATTATTTTGGTACTTGGGTTGTAAAAGTTGCTTCTATAGAGTCACTATGAGTCGGAATCTACTCAATGGCAACAGATTTGGTTTGGTTTTGGTTTTTCTGTTACAAAGCCTATTTTGAGTAGCTTCTTGAAATAAAGTTTCTTTACCTGACTCTAGGTCCAGAGATTAATTTTATTTTGAAATATCTGTAGCGTGATGACAGAGATCAGAGAGCTGAAGTGGAGAGTAAATGTCTCTTTGGATATTTAAAATGCTGTTTTTAAAATGCATGTGTCTTTTATTCCTAAAAAATAAATAAATGAATGACAGATACATTTTATCTACTTTTATAAATATTTATATAAAAAGAACAGAAGAGTGATTTTGATTTTAAGAATTCCAAGTCACATTCCAATCATTCCTTATAAGGGCTGAAGTGTAATGAATATGTATTCAGAAATGGATATTGATTATACAACACTTTTTCTGCAAACGGCTTAAGGTCATTCACAAAGGTACATAAAGTACAGGAAGAAAACATCAATAAGTAGAAAATGAGAAGAAAAAGGTAGAACAAATAAACAAAAAAGCAAGAGTGAGGTTGATACAAACTGTGTGTAGATGAACATGTGTGTACCTGTGTTACACATTTACAGGACACGAGCGTTTCCTTGTATTCATGCCTGCAAAGGGCTTTCCCAGATCATTTATTATGTGAATGATGTTGTTTATTGTGAAAATAAGAGTCCATGAACTCTTAATGTACTTTGTCACTGTGTGAAAAATATCATGGACATAAATTTTAGATATTAACGATTTGATGTTTTACACCTTCCTCTCTACTTCTGCACCTCCACTTTCTGTAAGTGGTATCACTATCTCTCCTGTCACCCAAGCCAAATTTCTAGGGCGTCTTCCCAACATTTTCCTTCCCTTCCCCATTGTTTTTTTTTTTTTTTCCCTAGTCTTAAATTTCTTTTCTTTTACTTTTTTTTTTTATAGTGGTAAATATATAGGTAACAAAACGTGCCATTTCAACAATCTTCACATGTACAGTTTGGTGACATTAAATATGTTCGTCATGTTGTGCAACCATCACCATTGACTGTTACCAGCTTTTTCCAACACTCTTAACAGAAGCTCAGTGTCCCCAAAGCATTGAGTCTTCCTTCCCCCCCCACTTATGCCCACCCCTGGTAACCATTAACAAACTTTGGTCTCTACATACTTGCCTATTCTAGATATTTCCTATAAATGAGATTAAAAATATGGAACACTTCATGAGTTTGCATTTCATCCTTGCACAGAGCCATCTCCATGTCATTCCAATTTTAGTATTTTGTTGTTGTTGTTAGGTGCCATCAAGTTGGTTCCTACTCATAGAGACCCCGTGTACCACAGAACGAAACACTGCCAGGTCCTGTGCCTCCTCACAATCCCTGTTATGCTTGAGCCCACTGTTGCAGCCACTGTATCAATCCAATCTCATTGAGGGTCTTCCTCTTTTTGGCTGACCCTCTACCAAGCATAATGTCCTTCTCCAGGGACTGATCCCTCCCGAAAACATGTCCAAAGTATGTAAGACGTGTTCTCGCCATCCTTACTTCTAAGGAACATCTGGTTGTACTTCTTCCAAGGCAGATTTGTTCGTTCTTTTGGCAGTCCATGGTATATTCAATATTCTTTACCAACACCACAATTCAAAGGTGTCAATGCTTCTTCGGTCTTCCTTATTCATTGTCCAGCTTTTGCATGTATATGATGTGACTGAAAATAGCATGGCTTGGGTCAGGCGCAGCTTAGTCTTCAAGA